TGTGCCTATTATGTCATATTCTTCTTCTTTACAATAGTTAATCCACATATATTGTTTGGTTGGGTCATTAAGACCACGTATATTGTGTGCCATTATGTTTAATAATGATTTTTTTTTTGTATTTGGGTCATTATTATCATTATTTATATTTGACATGGTTATATTATTTACACCCATGTCATGTGAGTTATTATTATTGTTGTTACTCATATTCAGGAGGCTGAGATGTTGTTGCCATATTGTTGTTTTGTTTTTCTGAATTGAGATTGGTACTGAAGTTACTTATTTGGTTAACTATAAAATCCAATTTGTTTTCCAATATCATTTGTTTTTCTTGTATGTTGTTTACCAGCTGTTTTTTAATTACAGGTATGTCTTCACCAGATGTATCAGGATGAGGTCTTTTGTAGCTGTTTGTGAATTTTTTGTTGCCTGGTGTTAGAATGTTTTTAACTTGGTTATTTGTATCTTTTGGAGTTTTTATATCATTAATTATTTCGTTTTTTTCATTGTTCTCCATAATATTATTAAATTTAGTTTTATTATCTGTGTGTGATGAATTGTCCAAAAACCCTTCATCTTCACCATACTCACTGTTATCAACAGTATTATTTTCATCCTCTTCTCCACAAATTGTGTTTATCTGTTGTTGTATCTTCTTAATGTCTTGTTTGATTGTGTTTAATTCTTGTATGATAAATTTTTTGAAGGAAGCAAGGTCCAATTCAGGTTGTTGTGTTGATAATTTATTAAAAATTATATCACTTGGGGGATTTTTTTTGATTGTGTTGTTTTGCGTTTTGACTATTTCAGCAAAAGTTCTTCCAGGTTTATTTGGTTGACTTTTGAATGTTGATTTTTGTATTCCATATTTCTTATAAGCATTTATAAATCTTTGATCTTTTTCACGTGCAGCATCTCTTTTTTGTTTTATGTAGCAGTCCACCACAAGGTGGTTTGTTGAACCACACAAATGACATGTACGTGCATTTGCTCCTGCCCATTCCAATTCGTTATTTCCAATTGTAAATGAAGTGGTTACTGCTTGATTTTTCACTTCTTCTGAGTCATAGTAAAAAATTGCAAATCTTTTACGAACATATCTTACATTTGTTCTTGGGATAATTACCATTTTAGCATTAGTTGCTTTGGATATATCCTCCAAATCATACGTTGTGGTGCCAAAGGGCAGGTTTGTTAATTTCATTGTAAAATTTTCTCTAGTTTGGATTTGTTCTTTATTTATAGCATGAGGTATCATTTTAACATCATCTTTTTGAATCCTTATTGACCATTGGTTTAAGATTGTATTTTCATCCAATTCTTCTTTTAATTCTACATCGGCTATTCTCCATGGGCCTGATGTTCTTGTTTTGATTTTAATAATTGTTCCCAATTCTTGTTCTACTGTTTTTTCAATTACCTTTCTAGTTATATTTAGAGGGATGCATGTCAGTCTAATCATTTTTTTTTGGTTGGTTATTGTATCAATGTTAGTTTCTAATTTGTATTCATTGCCTTCCTCAAGTGTTACCTTGCATGCTTTGTTTCTGGTATCTTCACTACTAAAGGATGCCATAATATACTGTTTTCCATTGTTAGTACTCAATTTGATACCAAGAAATTCTTTACCTAATTCTGATAATTTGTTTTCTACCAGACGACATTTTCCACTAATATTTTTTGTGTTCAAGTTGTTTATTTCTATAGAAGCTTTGTAATGAGTTTTCTTTTCAATTTTAACCCATTTATTTCCAGCAGTTTCTTCTGTTTTGTCTTCATTGGGTTTTTGACTGTTAATATTTTTCGTATTATTATTATATTCTTCTTGCATTTCTTGATTGCCATCATTTTCAATTTCGTTCATTGTTTCTAGTTCTTTATTTTTGTGTGTGTTTGTTGGATTAGGAGGATCTAACTCCATAGTTTCTTTAGTTATTCTTTCTGGGGCTTTTTGGCTTTTGGTATTCTTTGTAAATTCTTTATTATAAGGATTCGTTTGAGGTTTATTTATATTGGTTTTTTTTTTCCCCATTCTCCAACAAGTTGGATGTGGAGTTTTTGTTGAGTAATATTAGTTTAATTGAGATTTTTATGTCAGAATAAATTTTTAATATGTCTAATTCAAATATTACCATATTAATATTAAATTAATATAGATTATGATCATTTCTAAATTTGATCACGTGCAGCCAGATGTCGCGTCAAAAAATATTATTTGTTTATATAGAATTTCAAAAGTCACATGACAAAAGAAATAAGGTTTTGGTACCGAGAATTTGACCCTGGCCGTAGACGTGACCTTGTTAAAGTTCGTGAAACGTCACATCAAAATTCACAATTAAAATTGATGCATGACAAAAAATTTTTTTAAATTAAAGAAAAATTAAAGAAAAATTAAAGAAAAAAGATGACAGAAAATAAACCAGTTATTAAAAATGTTGATATGACACAGGAGATGCAAGATGAAGTTGTTGAGTGTGCAAATCAAGCATTGGAAAAGTATAATATTGAGAAAGATATCGCCGCTTATATCAAGCGAGAATTTGAT